GCACAGGTACAGTCAGGGATGTTGTTTATAAGGCATTAGTACAGTCATGGATGTAGAATAAAGTGTGTGTACTGGACAGCTACAGTCGTGGATGTTGTCAATCAGACACCGGTACAGTCATGGTGTAAAATTTCTAGAGTTGTCTGGACAGTACAGCAGAATCTTAGAGAGGTGGATCTAATAAAAATATTTACATATACAAATATTTACTTTGGATGTTATCGATAATTTTAGCATAAATTTCCTTTAATATGATCAATTATTTTAATACCATACCCTGCATATTTCAGGTATCACACCACGGTTATCGACCAGTCAAGATGTTAATTGTTCCATGCATATGAAATTAATTTTTATTCTTTTGAGAATTTTTTTTTTTTTGGGGGGGGGGGTCTTCCAGCCCATTTTTACAACTTTGATGCCCGTGCCTAGTAAATTTTATGTACTTTGTAAATAAATAAAGGTGTTTTGTCAGGAACCATTCTTTTTCAGGGCATAGGAGGCTACTTCCTGGGGTGCACTTGAGAGGTTTATATATAACACATTGAAAACGGGTGGATCAGCCCATTCCACCCGTATATATCGTAAGACATACAAATGTATATTTATGGGAAATAAAATTTGTTTTTTTCATTGACACCACTTGCGTGATCAATGAAATGGGTGAAATTAATAATATTGTGACGTACTTATACTTTCTAACATAAAATTAAGGATTACAAACTAATTCCGATATTTATTTTAATTTCCTTTTTTAATTTCCTTTGTTTATTATTTACTCGTATATTTTCTATAATTATACTAGCATGTTTCATTTTTAAATTCATCATTATTATTGAGCACGTAGGATATTGAAATCATGCCCCCAGCCCCCCCCCCCCACCCCCCCCCCCCAAAAATAAATAAATAAATAAAGACCTGGTTCATATTGTTCTCTGAACATAAAGCTTTAAATTTAAATCTGTAAAAGTTTTGGATCTTTCCCTAATCACTGCTGACATCGTTTGTCTCGGTATCACTGTCATGGGTAATATAAAGATTAGCGTTAATTGCGCTTTGATTGAATTCAGTTTAAATCTGAATCGGAGAAAATCCACAGAATTTTTTGTTGTGGATGTTATTAATCAAGCGCGGGTTGAGCCAGTGGTAGTGTGTATGTACGGCACAGGTACAGTCGCAGATGTTGTATACCAGGCAGAGGATACAGTCATAGATATACAAAATGTAGGCATAGTCAAGTTTACATATATTTTCCGCGATATATTCACTAAGCCAGTTATCGTTACCGTTTTGGCGATTACAGCCTTCCATAAAGTAGGTTTATTTAAAATCAGAAATTTTCTTTCCTCCATATTAACACATTTCGTATTTTTCACTAAAAAACAATCCATACTTAATTAACAACCTATAGTTTAATATGTTGAACAATCCGGAAAATCTTGCTCTGACATTCCGTTTTTGATATTAGTGAGCAGGTACAGTTATGGATGTCCGGTACCTGCACTGCCGAGTACAGTTGCGGATGATAGCTGACAGCCACTGTTGCGCATAGGTGGCAATCAGCATTTGGCTGACGTATACTAGTACCTTAATATTGAATTATTTGTACAATGTGTATTGGACAATTTTTATGTTCTCTGTACATGTAACAATAGCCTGTTCCAGTCACTTGAGGAATTTGAAGCTTATAAGTTAGAATAAAACATGTACAACTTACATTTTGAGCCCAAATGATGACACAGGGACAGTTTCAAAATTTCATGAAAATATAGCCTATTTTCACCAGATCCGCAACAGCTTCCAGGCCCGTGCTAATGCCCTGCTCAGCCACCAAAAATGCAGACCAACGCCTGTACATACCACTAAACGGCATGAGATGGCTAAACCACCTTCTTTTCAAGCTACACTGTACAATTCATCCCATGAACCCACCCCGATTTTCTGAGGCTATCCCCGATGAGTGATTTTTGGCTTTAGTTTCGTATTTCTATGACAGTAGTAGCGACACTTAAGTTTCATAAATCAATGAAATATATAAGGCTGCCACTTCCCTCCAAATGCACACATAAAATATTTTAGCAATGAAAACATCTACAATATGCATTCAAACCTAAAGTTACAACATTTTTTTTTAAACTTTTGACTGGCACTTTATCCGAAACCATTATCTGCCATTATAATGTAGTGTGAGTAGAACACCATACCTTGTGAGACACTTTGAAGCTTTTCATTATTAACAATTTAAGACAAAATTTACGATGGTATTTGTATACGATGGAGATTATATACATATAAAAAAAAATTGATGAATTTTCATTTTTATCCCAATCGGCCAAGAAGAAAGTCGAAAAATGATGTTTTTCTGCAGAAATCTGGTTCTAAGAATTTATATTTAACTTAAGTAGCTGCAGAACTCTTGGATAGAAAATTCGGACAGACATAACACAGAGCTACAGAAACATCCATTTTATCATAGCTGTAGGAACCGGGGGGGGGGGCACGGGTGGCCGTGCCCCCCCCCCCCCCAATTTTGCTGATATATAGAATACTATAGAAAACATAGCTACTAAATGCTTGTGCCCTCTCAATAATAACGTGTGATGACCTTTTTTGGCTTGTCAAGGAATTTTGGTAGTTGATAGTGCCCCCCCCCCCCCCCCAACTGAAAAGTTATAGCCGTGCCCACTCGAAGTGAAATTGCATCCTACGGGCCTGTGTATATATCTTCGATTTACGGCGACTTTTTTGGTTTCTTATTATTTTTTTTTTTTTTGCATTATATGCAATATGGTGTATATGTCTCCCAGTTCATAAGATACGCAACAGAATGTTTTCCTTACAATCAATTTTTAAACCAAAGCAAGCTACTGATACGTTGATGATACAAGGAGATCAAGGATCCCGATCAAGGATCCCGATTTAAGTCAATATTTCACAGCTTCTATGGTATATACAATAACGTACAATATATATACAATAACGTTGTTTGAAAACACAACCTGTTTTTTGGGGTCAAATATTGACTGACGTTTTAAAACAAATTTTTTGGCCATTTTTTTCATACTAAATAGTCTACTGATTTTCCAGTTTACCCGTTAAGGACAAAGGGCTCAAGGTTGTTGTGATCAAAAGACAGGGAATGCATCCTCCTCCATGGCAAATGATTCCACCCCTGAGTTTTGCAGTGGTTCAGTTTTTCGGTCCATATTTGCTACGTTCTCTGTTTCGTTTGATTGGACTTTTAAATATGATTACTACCTGTTATCTTCACATCCATAGAACCTGGTAGCATAACCAAATCGCCTCGCCCTCCCTCCGAGCAATACACAAATAATAGACAATAGACAAATATATATTTGTTTTCCAGGTAATTGAAGATAAAAGTTAGCCCTCGCCTATCAGCAAAATTAAAAGGATTTGAAAAATTTAGTGGTGCAAAGAAAGGGTTAAATCTATATGCTTGTTGACCCCAATATATAATTTAAACTAGTGAAATGAGCTGCTATTTGGTATCATGACAATAATTAGCTATAAACAATAGTTCTGCAGTAGCATTAGTCGATCGTCAGATTTACTCAATTTCTCATTTACTTATTGCTATGTCGCCCGTGGCGCAGTGGTTAGAGCGTCTGCTCTACAGTCGCGAAGTAAGGAGTTGATCCTTACGTTGCGGGTTCGAATCCCACTGTGGGACGAGGAAGACCGGTCCTTCGGATGAGACCGTATAAACCGAGGTCCCGTGTCGCAGTAGGTGCTGGCACGAAAAAGATCCCTAACTGCTCAATGGTCGTAAGTGCCGAATATAGGACAAAATTTGCAGCTCTCCACCGGCAAGTGGTGGCGTCTCCATATGAGTGAAAAATTCTCGAGAGGGACGTTAAACAACATACAAACAAACAAACTTGTTGCTATATTTGAGAATAATAGCTTTTGCTAGGTACTCACAATTAAATCTACTGATATTAATTTCATTTGTACAATTGAATAATAATAACAATTTATTCAAATGACATGTATTTTAGAAATACTTGCAAAAACCTTTATGATGCATTAACAAGATTAAATGAACAGTAAAAAATTCAGATTCAAACTTAATAATTATAAAATACTTTCACAGATTACCAGATCATTTATTTGCCATTAAACAAAATCTCCTCTCTTACTTGATCTGCCATTCACTCTGCATTAATTTGCATGATTTAAAAAAAAAAGGCATGCCAGTAATAGCAACGGACATTGTAAGGTCCCAGCTGAAATGATAGGCCCTACGTTTTGGCATAGCGGGTACTAGTATTGTAGGAACCATAGACATTAAGCTTTAAGTCTTTGCAGGAACCTAGAACGATGAACTGGTTAGGGGAATTAAAAATTTTATTTGCAGTATACAAAAATAGATCTAGACATATTCTATCAAAGAAGACGGTTTTTATTTATGTGAATAACTAACCAATTCGAATTTCCTTTTTTTTTTGGTATATTCTCAAGCAGTAGAGGTCGATGTGATAATACATATAAGACGTTATCACAAACTGTGAAAACCACAAAATGTCATTAACAATGTAGTACTTCTGCAGAATCGAAAAAAAATGTTAACTTTTGTAGGAAAATTTTTATGATAATGAATTTGAAACATGTCACTTAAATTGTCAGTGTGTAGATATTCCGATAGGATTTTCCAAACTTTAATACAGTATTGAAATGAATGACTTACGAAATGTTCGCCTAAATCTAAGATATTTATTTTTTGAGAACTGATTGCTAGGAATAGGAGTTTTAAGATTGTACAAAAATTAAGTCATAATTAGTCAATTTTTCTTGCTTGCAAAGCTATTTTACTGTAGCGCCCCTACTGGGATTAAGCACTCTGGTGTCATATCTGAAATACCAAATTCACGATATATAATATGAACTAAAGGATGAATTGTCGCATGATGGCAAAATTATGTCATGCACAAATGATTATCCAACTCAAAGAACAGTAAAACTTACAGAATCGTCCAGCTTGTTAATTATTTATTTCTCTATATGGAACACCAAAATTAAATAAAAGAAAGATAAAGCAGCATCATTCCTTGCACTACTTGGCACATGGCCAATTCTCATAGTACTATCAAAGTGTTATCTTTTATTAAAGTTTACACAAAATTTCCGCTCGCATTTGATCCGCCGTTCATATTGCATTGAGTTGCATGATCTACAAAACATGTCAGTAATCACAACGGACATTGGTAGAACCCCTGCTAAAATGACAGCGTTTGACATCCTTGCGGGTATATTGTAGAAACCTAAAATGTTGAGGTGAAAATTGAAATTCGAAAATTTTATTTCTATTACAGACATAAGAGATCTAGAAATATTTTGTGGAAAAAACCCTTTTATCATGTTTATTTTAACCACTCACCGATTAGAATCTCCTCTTTAATTAATACTTCCTCGAGGAATATAGCTTTGTCTGTGCTAACAGGTGCAAAATATGTCGTCAATAAAATTGCAAAAACCAAAGAGAATGCCATTTGTATTTGAGAACTACTGCACAAAATGATTTGAACTATGCAAATAAATGGAGAATATTTACGAGAATTATGTTATAAACATGTCGAAATACCACATATTATAGTGTAGTTAATCCGAAAGGGTTTTCCGGAGTTAAGTACATGTATTCCAAAGTGGATTGACTAATGCAACTTTTGCTCAAGTGTGAATGTTTGATTCTTGTTTTTGTTCTTTTGACAATTAAACAAGTAGAAGTAACTAATACGTTGTAAACGAGTAGCGAGCATTTTTAACTTAATTTTAATGTAATATTTTACAAAAGCATCAATTTGAGAGATTTTATAAGTGGTAAAGAAAAACAAAATAGAATTAAATAAAATTTTTGATTTTAGCAATTCATCATAAAAAATTTGTAAGTAAATTCAATTTTCACGAAATAATGCTTATAGTAGACGAATATTCTTTTTTAAAAAGGAAACAAATTCGGAGTACCGGGTAAAAACTCATAGAAGATGTTTTTCATTGTGATTGAAAAGTGTGCTTTGAAAGATAACCGGAAGACGAAAATACTAACGAAGTTCCTAAATTGCAGATCTTAGTATTACCGTTTATAATGTAACACGTGTGAAAGTCAACCCTGTAGAGTTTTAAATATACTATATCTGGAAGAATTTGGAATCTAGTTTCAACCCCGATACTTTGATATTGTGAATAGTACACCAGCAGTCCATATATGAGAGCGGATAATGACAATCAGGAATATTTTTTGCTCTTGACTTTCTTCATATTTTGCATCAATGTTTCAGAAAGTATAATCAAGTGATTCTATATCTCTACGAAATGTGAAGCATATGAGATAAAGATATGGGAAATATCGAGGAATTTTGACTTTTTGGGGGGGAATTCAGATTCGTTATGTTTTCAAATATGATAAAAATAAAAACTTCTTCTTAGGCTTTTTTCACAAAAGGATAAAAAAGTATCAATGTTAAAACCAGTCATCTTCAAGATGAAAGAAACAATATCCAGTTATTGAAAATCGTCCCATTTGACAAAACTTTTATATAATATCTATTTGTTGGAACTCCTATATGCATTTGAAAAAGGTCAGTAACTATTGGTATTTGAAGACATATCTTAAATTCACTTCAAACGATATCACAATAATATTATAAGCTTTCCACAAGTAAAGGTACAAACACAGGATTCAGATTTCAAATTAAAGAAATGTCCACTATATTTCCACTTTGAATAGTTTTGATAAGAAACTTCGCCTCCTTTAGTCTACTTTCTAGCTGTTTTGTCCATGTTCTTTAGATACCTCCGAAAACTAGGCGGCGAAGCCCGTCAACTATTAAAACGTAAGCAGAATCTCCGTTCACACAAAATCCGTCTTTGCTCAGAATGGATTCTTCCACATGCACTGCAAAACATATCTGTGATTGTGACAGATATTTGACCGTACATGTAACTTACTGGAGGCAGAGTACTCGTACGTTCTGGAGCTGCAACATTAGCATTATCAACTCCAGGGTCATCTGAAATGAATTCAATGTAAATTCATGTTTATGTAAGCAAGTTGAAAAAATACAAGTAGTTTGTCTCTCAGCAAAAATATGGCAAAATTGTAGATACCTATCAAAATTACTTCCTTAATAGTTATCTTTTCTACTCCCGGCCATACAGAAACAACATCAGTCATACCTAAGGAAACCGATTGTAAGCAGACCAGAATGGCGAGGATGAAGACAAGCGCCATTATTCAATCATTTGCTATTTAAATCCAGAGTGTGGTAGGATGGTGTGAGAAAAGGGATTAGAGGTAATAGCTGTATAAATGATGAGGACAAGAAACACAGTAATCGACAAAATATCGAACCAGACATAAAACGTTTCATCATGAATTTGATTAGTTATAAAAACAGAGCCTAATTTAGTTATTTATTTCTCGTTCAAAATACGTCAGCATCAAATATTATAATTATATTTATGTAATCCTAGTGATCTGGCTAGGCTACCACATAAGTTGTAGTTAAAACATAACAAAGACAAAGTATATTGAGTGAGAATTGTCATTTATTAAACGACAATAAGTATATAACACAAATAAAGTTATGGGGAGATCACCGGGATATTTCCTTAGTACAAAGAACAATAAAATTGGCAATGGTATCTCCCCTGTTGCAAACAATCATCATTTTGGCAAAAATATTTCGACAAATAAAAAGTACATAAACCACAAAGTTGTCAAAACAAAAAGCTGCCAAAAATATTTCGACAAATAAAAAGTACATAAACCACAAAGTTGTCAAAACAAAAAGCTGCCACATGGCAAGTAAGATGGCACAAGCACAAAGAACATAATAATCAAATTACAAAGATAAATAGAGTAAAGTTGTTTTAATGATGGAGTAGGAAGGGGGACGGAGGGTGGGAAAATTTCTCAAAACAATTCTGTTAACTTGTTTACACTTCTAAATCAGTGAAAAGACGCTATCTAATGTCACGTGATTTGAGTAAGGACTACGATTGGATAATAAAAACTTTTTCCCCAAGGGGAATGCTAATAACACAATAAGACTCAAACAAACAAGGAAACTTCTATACATCACATATTACATAAAGGCTATTATTTACAATAATGCTGTATTATGTAATCCTAGTGATCTGGCTAGGCTACCACATAAGTTGTAGTTAAAACATAACAAAGACAAAGTATATTGAGTGAGAATTGTCATTTATTAAATGACAATAAGTATATAACACAAATAAAGTTATGGGGAGATCACCGGGATATTTCCTTAGTACAAAGAACAATAAAATTGGCAATGGTATCTCCCCTGTTGCAAACAATCATCATTTTGGCAAAAATATTTCGACAAATAAAAAGTACATAAACCACAAAGTTGTAATTATATTTAATTTCAATTTCATTGGATCATCAAGCCAGGACTCAGTTATTACTCCGACTGACCTGAAACATGATCAGATTCGTAGAACGTTGCGAATATGACTGGAACACAATAGCGCGTAAAGCACTTCGAAGCTTTTCATTATTAACAAGTATAAAAACACTTGCTATGGCCTTCAACTCGACATTTAATCATATCGACGACTATTGTCAATTGACAATAGTTATTTCCATTCATATGTCGAAACAATATATCCCAGTGAGCTTGGAATAAAAGATACCACAGAGTCTGACGCATCTGTTTCATTTTTGGATATTTTACTAGAAAAAGATGTTAAATAAATGGTAATCAAACAACTAAACTTTATAATAAACGTGATGACTTCAATTTTTCAATCGTCAACTTCCTTAATTTTGTAGCAATATACCCTTATCACCTGCATATGTTTTGTTTTTTTGTCACCCAGTTAATTCGATACGGAAGAAGTTGCTCGAGAGAGAGAGAGAGAGAGAGAGAGAGAGAGAGAGAGAGAACAAATGTATAATATTAACATTAAAGACAAAGTTGCACTTGATGGATATTCTATAGAGGCAAAACATATTAATTTCGGTCTGCCAGTCTCCAACAACGGATATACTTTACTTTTATATATATTGTCGCTGGTGTTTTACAGTTCTATTTGTTGTAATGATATGAGAGAGAGAGAGAGAGAGAGAGAGAGAGAGAGAGAGAGAGAGAGACAGACAGACAGACAGACAGACAGAGAGAGCGTTCTTGTTAAGAAAGATAACTCTAGTATGTCTAGCTGGCAAAATCGTTTTAGATATATTTAAAATACTGGTGTATAAAACTTTTAAAGAGAAAATGAAACATTTAATCTATGTTTAAGAAAAAAGCAGTCATGTCCTTTTGATAATAAAAGTTTTTTTGCTACTAATACCTGCAACCGACATGCAAGTCACACTCAAGAATTGGTAAACATAAAGAAAGTTATTGTTTTTAATTTAACTGCTGAATCAGGAGTTTTGTTCAGAAGCTCGTTTAATTATTTTGATTTTGAAGTTCACTTTCATGTCACAAAAGCTACCCATTGTTTTTTTTAATTACAATTATTTCAAACATCTGTTTTCAGTGTTATTTAAAACAAAATGATGTATTTCTGTAAAATTCTTTCACAGTGCAACTCCTGCTATAGACTTGTCCGATTTAATAATTTTGCAGTATACATACATACATACATACATACATACATACATACATACATACATACATACATACATACATATATATATATATATATATATATATATATATATATATATATATATATATATATATATATATATATATATATATATATATATATATATATATATATCGGTTAAGCTTTCGATGAACGGTGTTATCAAGGTTACATAAAATAAAAAATCCTGTGAAAGTCTTTCAAAATAAGTTATTTCTCTTTCAGTTTTATTCCAATTTTTGTTTAATTTTTAAAAATTTTCGCAGGTGGATTTCGATCTCTCATTACTACTAAAAATGAAATAATGTGTGGAAATCTTTCAAAACGGCACGCCTCCTACAGCTTTTTTTTTTAAAAACAAATTTCAATAAAATTCTTAGCGTGTACAAGTAAACTAAACTAGAATATACACAATTGTAGTTCAGTTTTGAATATAAAGAATTGTGCCAATATTAGTCAAAATGGAAATTCTATGAAAGTCTTTCAAAATGCTATCATTCTGATTTCAATAAAACTATAAGTGCACAAGTTTTTCAAACAAAGATTCATGATTTTTTTAAATCAGGTATTGATTTCGATAAAGGGTGCTATCTAGGTTGCAAAAATAGACGTGAACTTCTTATCTTATACTTTGATTTCAGTAAAATTTCTGTGGTACACAAGTTCACAGGACATAGGTTTATCGTTCTTTTATCGATATAAATGATTATGATGAGATGAATGAGGATACAGACTAGAAATAGAATAATTTTTAAAAATATTGTTACTCTTTTTAAAGATTAAAATGATTTCAATAAAACTTGGAACACGTTTAGACTACCATGGGATACATGAATTTTTGAATGTAAAACTAAAAAAAATTGCTTTGATTCACTATCCAACTTTTTAAAACTATTATAAGCCAGTAGAACTACAGTCTCACGAGAGATTTATTTCGGCATTGATGTTGAATATATACCACTAAATTTTCAGAAAATTTTACAGATCTATATCAATTAATGCTTCTAGTAATTCGGTATTTGTCATGGATTGAAACCAATAGCTTTAAAAGGTGAAAAATGTTTCTTGATGTATTTGCACAAAATTTATCAGTACATGAAGATATTGAATATTATACATTTATTGACTGGGTTCGAGGGCAACATGCGTTTTGTCGGACCCAAGGACCAAACTGTTTGCCTGAGGCCGTTAGGGCGATGGCAAACAGTTTGGTTCGAGGGGTCGACAAAACGCATTTTGCCAGAGAACACAGTCAATAAATGTTTTGTTATACCTTTTATCTATTTACTTTATTATTGTTTTTTGACGTACATGTATGTCGAACACCAACGAATGCAAATGAGATTTAGCTGACCTCGCCCATTGTGTGACGTAAGCGGTCCAACATCTCATCGACAGGTCCAATATCTCACTCCGCGGTCAAACATCGATTTTTTTTTAATGCCCGCTCAGTAAAACATTGGAAATGTTAGACTTTTATTAGAATTGATTTATATAGGAACAAATTTTTAAAGATATAACAAAAGATATTTAGGTTTGATAATAATATTAATTAACATTGATACAAATTATGTTTTTCTTGGATTTACTCAGATCGAAATACTATTAAGAATTTTCCTAATGAAATAACATTTACGGAGGTGTGGTGTGATTTCACGCATCCATTTCTAATTTCCGTGCACTGAATCCTCAGTTTTGTTAAATACTGTATATTTCATTCAGGTGAACATCTCCTGATATGAATGAAATTTTACATGCTTTGCTAACCTGAACACGTACTAATTAAGTACATTGTACTAGACAGAAATGAATGTTCTGAATTCTGGCAGTAAATTATATTTAAAGAGCACATCCCACAGTCTCGCAGAGATCCGTGATTAAGTTATTGAAATTGAATAGAAAAATAAATTTACTGAACTTTCAGTACCGATTAGGACACTACTTTACCTCAAATATTTGTTCATTAGGTATTAATATTTAAAAATAATTTTATGTGGTGTGACTGAATTAAAACGGGTTTCCAGAAACAACTGCCCCCGAATCAATGAAAAATAATGTAGTTATAAAAAAATCCAACCATGTAGTTATGAAAAAAACCTCCCAGAAATATATGGCCATTTCTTAAATCCATGTCCAGACAGTTTTAAGTGGGACAGAGTATCGATATATTTACAAAAATAATTAACTCTACATGATAGGATGGGCAAAAAGTGTATTGGGGGTGATATGTCAACAATGACACATTCATTATTCAAGATAATATATTGTTGAGCCATTGAGTATATAGAGAATATTTTGTCATTAGATCACACCCACAGAGGATAATACTGCTTGACGTATCTAAATATAATAGTATATGTAGTTATAGCCATGCAGATTGAATGTCCAATCTACATACACTCAATCAACCAGAAATCTCTTTAAATATTTGATGATATCTGCAAATAGTTAGAGATATCTTCCATAGAATCAAAGGTCTTTACTATTCAACATTTCTTTTTAATTGTAGATTTCTTTCCTGAATCACTACATGTAGCATTGCAACATGTATACGTATTCATTCAGTTAATATGCGTTTATTCAATT